CCGTTACCTCTGGTGCAGCTCTGCTCTGCCGCTCCTTTTCGTGGAGCTGTGAGAAAACACCTGGGGCCACCTCGTGCTGCAGTCTGCGTTTCGGAGACCCAACGCCATTTATCCAGCCCCTCACATTAAAAACATCCATCTTTTTAAAGTTGGCTGTCAGCCGCCTTCCAGGTCACCTCCTCCCTTGTGAGTTGACACGGTGATTTTTGTAAAGACGGGAGTTTGAGAGCTCAAGATACAGTGAAGAGCTGGTGTTGTACATGGTGGTAGCAACCCTGCCTCTTCATGTTTTGCTGTCAATCAGTTGTACCCTGTAATAGTTGAAGATTTGGGGTTTTGGTGAGTGGACTTCAGATGCTTCAGACTTCTCTGCCAATTACCCGTGGGGGTGGTTAATTGGCAGCAGTCTGGGGATCAACAGGGGACTGGCGTCCTACCAGGGCAACACAACCCAGTGCTTTGCAGAGGTTGAAGTAGCAAATGATGAAGGGGGGAGCAGGGAGATACCTTGGAGGGGCTGGATAGTGCATCCTCTGCCTTTGCTGGGGGAGCTCTGGGTATGGCAGCATGGCTTTAAGCCGTGTTTAAACAGAGCCACTGTAGATCAGATCAGAGCGTGGTCCAGCCCAGGTCCTGTCTGTGGCAGCAGAACCCTTCCTGGAGCACACACATTGCATTTTGTCCTCCTGATACCACTTGCTCCTGGCCTCTGTGAGGGTTTTGTGGCCAGGAGATGAGATCTGGTGGTTCAGCTGAGCTGAGGGAGGCAGCTCTGATACAGCAGCACATACGGCCCAGGAGCCCGTGGGCTGGCTGGGGTTGTGCTGGGTGACGGCAGTGGGGGTTTTAATGCCTTCATTAGCAAGTCTGCCACCAAACACGGCGATATTCTCCGAGGTGAATTTGGGTACTTAAATATCTTGGCCTGAATAGGGGTATAAAAATAGCAGCCTACAGCAGTTGGATGCTTCTGCTGCTCTTCCCTCTGAAGGACGAGACTGAATCGCTCGCACCCCGCTGTGAAATGGGGCCGTGTTGCACCCTCCTGTCCCTGCAGCCTCTTCGGGGCACTCAGGTCTGGTTTGGGTGGCCATGGGATGGTTTCTAACGGGGTTTGTGCCCTGAAGATGGGCAGGCACTGGAAATTTGTTGTCTTGAGCCCTTGTCACCCCCTGTCCTCGAGCTCCCCTGCCTGTTACGCTGCAGCGGAGGGTGCTGCATGGCACAGTTAAAGGTGATTTTTCTGAAAAAGTCATGTCCTGGTGTGATGCTCCAGTGACCTTGGCACAGACCTGGGGCTGGTTTGCGATGGGCTGAAACGCCGTCGGTGATGAAACCAGGTAGAGCTGGAGCTGGAGCTCCAATTTTCTTCAAATCTGGCTCTTCTCTGGTTTTGTTCTTATATTTTGCTTTTTTTCCTCCCTTTTCTATTGAGTATTTAATTGAGGCTCCTGCTCCCAAGCCAACACTGCTGCTGAGGAGCTGTTGCTGTCAGCTTTAATCCATCCATGAAAATCTCATTTTCGGATGGAGATAACTTGTAGCTGCTGCGATGCTGCTGTTGTAACAGAGCCTCAGGACGCAGATGGTTCCTCGAGCGCTCGCCGATGCCCAGATTTCTGCCCTAGTCCCATTCCCTACGAGGCAGCTCATGGCCCTGGGAGGGTTTTGCCCTGTGCTCTTGGGCTCCATGGCATGGAACAAACAGGAAGAACCTGGGTGTCCTCCGTGCAGTTTTGGCATTAACAACCTCTCACCTCTTCCTTGAGGGTGGAACCTGCCACGAGAGGGCAGGAGCTGGTGCTGCCGACTCTGGTTTTGTCAAAAAGGGCTGCAAATATCAGTTCCTAAAGCCTATCCACATGGTTTTCAGTTTTCTGAAGGGTTTGATTCCTAAGCTGCTGTTCAGCCCATGTCTTTGGCTGTCTCCCTCCCTCCCAGGGTGGCTTTCACAGTGTGACAGCAGGAAACTCCCACAGAGTGAGCAGGGTCTCCCCAAAACTCCTCCAACCCTGTAAAGCACAGCAGGACTTCCACAAAGTCCCCAGCTCTCACCTCCCAGGCTTTGTTCACCTCTAACGGGTCTCACTCTGGTTTGATGGGCTTGGAGCACGGACACATGATCTGAACAAAGAGGTTTCTTTGCTGCCCATCCTGAATTAGGAGGTTAATGGGAGATTTCACTGTCTGGGAGAGACTGAGGCATAACGAAATGGGAGCTGCAGCATCAGCTCACAGCCTCGGCTGCCATCTGTGCTGCCAGGGGTTGGGAATTTCGGTCCAGTTTGGAATGAGAGGGAGAATGATCAGCTGGGAAATGAGCAGGGGGTACAGCTGCATGGAGAGCAGCCGAAAGGAAGTTACTGTGAGCCTTCGCTACAGCGAGGCTGGGTTCTTCTGGGTTTTGGCTGTTTTTAAAGCATGGGTTCTGTTAACCTTTAACAACGAACACTTGTGGGTCATAAATCTCTTCCTTATTAATGTCACCCGCGGTCATTTCTGTCCTTACTCCTCTGTGGTGAGAGCAGGGCTTCTCTGCAGGCTGCAAACGCTCTGCCAAGGACTTAAACCAGAGTTTTCCAGACCATGATAAAGGCAGCAGCAAGGCTGTTTCTGGGAGAGAAGCGTGTTTATAAAGAGATACCAACAGTTGTCTCTAGGAACAAAGGAACGGCATTGAAATGGGGGACACGTAGGGAAAACATCCCCCCCATGCGTGGAAGGAGTGAACGGCGGCGGATAAAAGCTCCTGCAGCTCCCAAGCTGAATATGTGAAGGCCTTGAAGGTGGGTGAGGTTCTTCGCAAACACATTTGAGTCAAAAACAACCCAAAACCCAACCAAATACAGAGCAGGCAGAAAGCATTAAGAATGCTCGTCAGCGTGGTGAGCATCCAACCACTCCTTTGAAAAGGGAGCCATTCAGGAGCTGTCTCTGAATAAATTCCCTGCACCCATAAAGTTTGGGCTTTATTGGGGTTTAAGGGGTTTCTCATGGCTGAAATCTCTGTGGTGCCGTTTAGCTCTAAGTGGAATGGGGGCAGGAAACTGTGCTCAAGGGGAAAAGAAGATATTTAAGCAGTAGTGGGGTTAATGTTTGCCTTTCAGGTATTTCAGACACAGGTATTTATCCTGCTACTGTAGCTAACTGCTCCCTAAATGCTTCTGACAAGGCAACAAAATTCCTTGCAGTCTCCTCTGAGCCAACAGGAAATACTTCTTAATTCAGATTCCAAGATGACTCAGTTCAGAGATTACAGCAGTTGCCAAAACAACTGGTGGGGGAGCTTACTGGAAGGGTAAAATCAACCAAAACAGGACAGGAAAAAAGGAAAGAGATGAAAAATCACCTGTTACACGTTTGGAAAAATATTTATACTCGGTATAAAAGAAGCTAATGCTCACAGCAAAATTACAGCGATTGCGTTATCTTCTCAGAAATTCTGTTTACTCAGTCACGCTGCTCGCTCGGCACGAAATAACAGCTCTGACTGCTTCACTTGATGCGTGGCCTGGAGCCTGCAGGTCTGTGTTATTACTTGGATTTCTATCATTTCGAGGTCTGGGCAGTTCACTTACAGGGTGGTGTCACCTTAAGTTGTTCCCAGTCATCTCCTGGTACGTGCAGTCAAACACAGGAGAGGACGTGCCCGAATTTCAAGGCGGAAATGACTACACAGCTGTTTCACTGCAGCGTATGCTCCTCTGTTTTGTACCTGTAGGAACAGCAGATCTTGGGTGATGCAGGACTTGGAAACAGCCACTGGGGCACAAGCAAATTAAAACCCTGGCAGAACATCCCTTTTTACTGCCTTTCTTTGCTGAGAAGCCCAGCTGAGGAAAGCCCTGGTGCGTTATCTGGGCCGGAGGGGGCGGCTGAATGGAGGAGAAGGTCCTGGCTGCTCCTCCCCGCCCTCTGTGCAGCGCCTCTGAGACCTAATTTGGAATGAAATGCTGCTTGCTTGCTAAAACTCTACTTCCTTCATGTATCACAGAACCACAGAACGTTAGGGATTGGAAGGGACCTCCAAAGCTCATCCAGTCCAATCCCCCTGCCGGAGCAGGAACACCCAGATGAGGTTACACAGGAAGGCGTCCAGGCGGGTTTTGAATGTCTGCAGAGAAGGAGACTCCACAACCTCTCTGGGCAGCCTGGGCCAGGGCTCTGTCACCCTCACTGAGAAGAACTTTCTTCTCCAATTGAAGTGGAACCTCCTGTGTTCCTTCCCTAAAGTTTATTTTTTAGTCTATTGACTGCACTTAAAATGCAATTTATGCTATCAAAGTTAAAACCACGCAGCAAGGCGACGTTTGACACCGTGGTCTCTCTGCCTCCTTTAAAATAAACTGCCTTTTTTTTCTTCTTCTTCCTGAAGCTTGATGCAGAAATAAAACCTGGGAAGGTTTGTTTTGACAGCACATGTGTTATTTTACACGATCTCCACAGGATTCTGTGGGATTACAACAGAAAGGTGCTGCCGCTTCTGCAGTGAAGTGTGCGTGGCACAGAGGAGCGTGTGTGTGTGTGTGTGTGTGTGTGTGTGCATTTCACTGGACCCTTTCCATATCCCCTCCCTTCCAAAAGAAGGTGCAAGAATTTCAATTTCCCATTTCTACTATAAGAAAACATGAGTAAAAAACCAAGTTTGCAATGTTTTCAACGCAGCAAAGCTGCTACCGCTATGAACTTTCCTATTCTTTAAGTACATAAAGAGTGTACAAAAGGCTGATAGAAAAATGATTTTGTTACAGGTCTTATTTTTGAGAGATTTCATATTTCTGTGTGTAACATCAGACTATTAGCTGATGATGTTAATTTACACAATACTTCACCTACTGAAAGGATTACACCCAAGTAACTATTCCAAAGCCTCTTGTTTCTTTTGGAATAACGGTCTCAAGTGAAATGTTCTCACTTCAGTAAAATATTTCCGTTTGCCAAAAAAAAAGCCCCAAAGTGTTTGACTTCCCTGTGAGCCTTTGAGCCTCTCACACCCCAGGTCAGTAGTTATGAATCCCCGCTGTAAGAGGCGCCAGAGAAGGCTCCTGCATGTCGCTCGGGCTCACGTCGTAGCCCAGCTTCTTCATGTCTTTGGTCACTACGTTGAAGGAAATGGTCACAAAGCCTTGAGATCGCACCCTCGTGACTAGAAGAAAGAAGACACAAAGAAAACGGGTTAAGAGAGGATGTTGAAGCCCTCACGTACCCAGGCAGGACTGTTCTCAGCGGAACAGCCAGTTGTTTTAGCAGCAGACGATGGCCAAGCGAGGGTTGCAGTCAGGAGCCCCCAGGGCCTCACCTTCTCTTCCTTCTCCCTGTGCTACCACTCTGGGGTCGGTAAATTCCGGCCGTTTCCCTGTGAACCAACTTGGAGAAGAAAACAGAAACTAATTAATTGGATCCATTCAGCAGTGTTTAGATTTGATTCAGTTCATTATAGGCACGTTAAAAGAAAACAAAGGGTGGGTCTAATGAGACTCCCAGCTCTTGTTTGCAGTAGGGGTGTGAGGACTGATTCACTTCACTGCTGATCTGCTTTGATCAAAGATAAGTTTTGTCCCTCTAAGGAAAAAAATGAAAGCAATTTCATACGCATTGTGTTAAATCCAAGTTATTTCTGGGCTAGACAGGTTCCCCCTGTGGCAAAGATCTTTGTGTAACTGATTTGGCTCTTGATTACCCTGAGTAACAGAGAGGCTTAGATACTTTGAACACATCAGAGGTGCACACAATACCAAAGTATAGAAATTAGAGTGTAAATTCTACAAACAAGGGTACAATAAAGAGAAGAAAAGTCAATCAGTTGAATCCTGACCGTCAAGCACAGAGGTTCCCTTGCTGACTCTTTTTCAAACCAACAGTGTTCAAATGTGAGGATGGAAGAAAGACGAGTTAGTGTTGCTGCAAGCAGGCAGTGAATGTGTTTTAAGAAAGCTCTTCAAAAGCCCTAGACACATAAAAACTTGATTTTTTACCTGTACACCTCAAAACTGTCTGGTTGTCTTTGTATTCGCATGTACGCACCAGCTGGACAGACCTCTGTGACTGAGAGCAAGGAGGACTTTTAAAAAAAGGAGAAGTCTTTAATTATTACCTTGTAAACTTCTGCAGCTTGGATGTGGACTCTGGAACAAACATAGCGATGGTTCTTGTGTGCCTAGAGCAAACGGGAGAGGCACAGAGCAGTGAACCAAACAGCACTGGCAAGACTTCTTGTGTTTATAGAGGTATCAGAATGTCACACATCAGACCACTGAGCATCTCGAAGTGGAATACAGAGGAAGGGTTTCTATGCACAGGAAGAGTGGCTCTTCCTCAGAGTGGTACAGCAGAGGTAACGTGCTGCACTTCATACTTGGGCTTTCTTCGTGCCAGTTTGGACTTTACAGTTGTCTACAGCATTACCAAAACCTATTTGATAACCAGGGGTTAGAAAATCCATGCTCTTTGTACCAAACAGACAAGACATGATCAGGGGACAGGGGAACAGTTTTGTTTCTGGAACAACACAGTAACTGGAAAAAAAGAAATCTCTCTTTCAGTCTTGAAAGTCAACAGGTTGTCACCTCACCTTCCAGGCGTGAAGGGAACATGAACAGCTCCGTACCCTCTGACCACGTCGTTTCCAAAAAAGTCAGGTCCATACACACTCACTACAATCTGCGGCCCTGCAAATGAAGTGAGTGTGAGAGGAGCACCTGGTCTGTGACCTGAATCCCACCACCCCAGCACTGCCAGCCCGGCT